CATATTTTTACTGTTCATCACATTGAAGATATCCTGCCATTCCTTTCTAGCCTGCCAAGTTTCAGTAGATAGGACTGTCACCACTCTGATAGGTTTCCCTTTGTATGTTAGGGCCCTTTTCTCCCTAGCTGCTTTCAAAATTCTCTCTTTGTCCTTGTATTTTGCCATTTTTACTATGATATGCCATAGAAGATCGATTTCTGAGCTCAAACTGAACATGGACTTCTTTAGTCGAAGACTGTACCCTTAATCCTCGGAATAATGAATATTGTTGCTTCATTTGTTTTAGTTGTAGAGAATCACAATTCAAGGGAAATAAGGGAAGAATTTTGATGGTTTAAGATTTTCCTATTATGTTTCTATTACATGCAGTGGCTCAACTGAAAGCTAGAGTTAATATATGAAAGAGGAAATAAGGACAAGGGAAGTTGAAAGAGTAGATGAGAGCAAGTGAGAAGAACACGAAGGAGGGTTACAGGCAGTGGGGGACTACACGCTGCTACCATCTCTTTCCATTTCACAGACTATCTTACCTCTACTGCAAGTAGAAAACCAGAGTGCCTGTTATAGTAAGGAGCACCCCAAATTTACAACTGTAAGGCAGTGCTTTTATAGATTCATTCAAATTTGGACTTTGGTGGTTGTAATTGCCTCATCATTTTGCAAGTAACCATAGTCATCCTTGCCACAGGTCAGAGAAAAAGAACAGAAATCATGCAATTTCCTCACACTGGATTTAATTTGTTAGCCACATACATACATACATACATACATACATACATTTTTGTGTGGGTGAAAATCCATGTGACATAGTTCATATTTCTGAACTAGTAGCTTGATTGCCCTTAGTGACTGGTTTATTTTTATATAATGGACACTGAATCGAATACCTAAATGTTTGCCTTTATAATGTGGCTGATAGAAAAAGTTGAGTTTAATTTGTGACTAACATTGATAGAATATCCCTGATCATACAGACTTTTATAATTTTATGCTTTCATTATTGATCTTATTTATAATAGTAGTAATAAGTATATCAAAGAGAATAGGTTAGGTTATTCTATAGGATCAAGCAGTCACAAAATGTCAGTGGATCACAAAACAAAGGTTTATTTCTTACACTACAAGTTGAGTACAGCTAAGTTCTAACTGTGCTCTGTTTGTTTCACTGGGAGGTCCAGGCTGATAAAGCAGCTTCTCCCCAGAATACCACCAGAGGGAAAAGAGAAATCATGACAAAGCATATCTGGTGTCTTAAAACTTTGATCTAGAAATAACACATGCCCTCTTTCATTGGCCAAAGCAAGTAAGGCTCCCTGAATCAATGATGCAAGGAAGTACAGTTGTTGCTACAGAGAAGCTCAGGACATATTTCGAGACAGTAAGACAGTCCATCAAAATAGGTAGCACTTAAGTAATTATTCTGAACCCAGCATTTTTCTAAGACAGATATTTAATGCTCAAAGTTGTTTGGTACATACTAGATGACAATACAGAGTTTGGAGGGTGAGAAATTTGTTCAAGTTTACAAAATAGATAGTGGGCTGAGTTGGAATTGGAATGGATTTCTGTCTCCAAACTCAGTCTGTATTTGTTACTGTATTGCATGTGTTTTCAGAAGTTCTCCGGGATAAGGAGAGGACTGAAATTTAAACGTCAGCTGAGGAGAAGTTGAATGGTCCATATTACCACTCCAGTGTTAAGAAATTCCAATTTGATGAAAATGAGTTTTCCTCTAAATCTGTGTGAGGAACCAACTGCCAAGAGGCCAAAGTAGCTTCAAATAAGCCAATGATTTTTTTTTGTCATTAGTAACTAATTAACCTGCAGTCTGGGGGCACTTGTCAATAGGTGATCAGAAAAACCAATATGAGAGGTCACCTAGGATAGCTGAAAAAGTTCAAACCAGATTTCTGAAATATAAATATTATGTACATGAATATTTATATGTGACAATCAAAGGGAGTATTAAAGTCAATTCTAGAAATTGCCTTTATATTTTTTAAGGTGCCATTGTTTTATGTATGAAAATAGAATAGAAAGATACAATACTAATTTATGTATAAAAATAGCAAGCCATGAGTTTCCTGGTCTAACCAATCACTGACCACAGTGCTTAAAACCATTTTTGGGTTGTTAGGATAGGTAGCTTTTTGGTTTCCTGGATGCCATTTCCCTTCACATATAAATGTGCTTCCCATTGTCCTACTCCAGTATAATTTCTTAAGGCACCACTTATGAAATTGTGTATGAAGCCAATATATTGAATAAGTACTGAGGTCCAATTATATATCCATGCTTGTGGTAAACCTGGATGTGTAAAAACCCTGCTCCCTTAGAGCTGAAAGTCAAGTAGGATGACTTAATTTGCAAAGGTGTTTGCGTAATTAAAATAATATCAGTCACAGCAACATTAAAGCATTTTGACAACACATTCCATTTGCACTCTTTACCTGCTGTCCTAAATTTAGTAGAAAAGTAACAAACAAATTGATTCATTTAAACTGTAGTGTTAAGTTGGAGACTGAATGGTTGTATTTCTTCTGAAATTCCTATTTTGAAATCCTACCCACCCTTCCATGTGATGGTATTGAGAGGTGGGCCTTGAGAAGGTAATTCTGTCATCAGTGGGGAGCTCTCAGGAATGGGTTTTGTGTCCTCATAAAAAAGACCCACAGAGCTCTTTACTTTTCTTTTCCCCATGTAAGGATAACAAGAAGTCAGCAGTTTACAGCCTGGAAGAGGGCTCTCACCAAAACCTAACCATCCTGGAACTCTGATCTCACTTTCGTCCTCCAAAACTATGAGAAATGAATTTGCGTATAAGCTACCCAGTCTGTGGTACATTGTTATAGCTGCCCAAACTAAGACCTACTATGATTTAAATTATAGTACTTAAAAGGTAGGTATTTGTTAGCCTTGATTATTATTTATGCCTAGACAGTTATATACCAGGGATTTGGAAATAGAATTATTAGAATTGAAAATTTTTGTGTTTAATGTTATCATTTTTGAAGGCTTAAACTTAAAATTTCCTCATGAAACTAAAATTATCTTTAATACCTAAACTTTGAATGTTGACCTAAAATTTCAAATGAAATTCTAAGTAAACATAAATGTTGGAAAGTATCTTGTGTTAATTGAGACTTTGATTTGTTATCAAATTACATTATTAATGGACTTCTTTTGAAGTCTGAGAAAATGGTACTGCACATTTAATCTTACTGTAATAAAAATCCTTACATTTTCTGGCTTCTAGAATATATGACCATATATTCCCATCCTTGAATATCTTGAAGCACACTTGAAGCTTAGCATAAAAGTAACAGGCCCTCAAACAGGTGGATAACATAATTTTCATTTTACTAATGTATAACAGAATCTAAATTGCATCTTGCCTTCATTTGAAACCCAACCATTTGGTTATGGTAAACTGTCTTGATGGGAAGTTTATCTTAAGACTTATGTAATCTTTGCCCCTTGTGTATCATGATATTTGGGGAATATATTTTCTGGGGATAACATATGGTGGAACAATCTTTCAGGTTACCTGTTGTGACCCTGAGTTTGCATTATGGGGGAAATATGCTTCCAATTAAAATTGTCCTATGGGGATGCTATTCTTTATGAATTCAGGGTGAAGAATAGCTAAGGAGTCTGGTCTGTGTCTGACAGCTGGTGCAATGCACCTTGAATCAATAAAACTCTTATTAATTCCATTCTAAGTACTTGATATTGGTTCACATGGACATGATTCTACAAAGAACTGTAGATTTGAAAACCTCTAATACAGGTTATTGTTCAGAACAATGCCAATATTCCTGAAAGAAGGGCTACATGCTGATAAAAATTTATGTCAAGTAAATACCTACACATCAGCAGTTGTGGTCACTGCTTTAAGTGCTTTGAGGTTTACAAACAAGTTTAAGGACATAATTCCTTAAATGATATTTCTAGAAAATAAGACCTAGAACACTAAGGCTATATAGATGAGGGTTTATAGAAATTCCTCTCACTTTCTGTTGAAAAGGATCCAAGCATTCACAAATGACCTCCTAGGTTGCCCTATGCAGAATGCTAAACCTAGTCAACATTCTGCAGAGTCAAGTAAAATTTAATTATAGGAAGATTTATTTTCTTCCTTACTGTTCTCCAAGTTTTCAGGCTGTTTTATATTCAGTTGATCATCCAGTACGAAACAGGAAAATACAAAATCATGTTGATTCTCTAGTTAGACTTCATTATGTAACTCTAGCTTGTTGATATATCCCATTGATTTTCTGGAACATGTTCTACTATTTTATCATCTCCTTCAGATCTGAGTATCCAGATCCAAAGAAACAATTTTCTTCTGATGTAGCCACTACAGCCCCTCATCTTTAGTAGAAAATGAAATTTATGGTCAATAATGGGGAAGGAGTTGACCATTCACTCCTTTATCCCCATTGCAAGAATCCCAAGGTGATAAATACATAAATATAATTATAGATATAGATATGAATGATCTGATTGTTTAAGGTTCCTTAACAGCCAGTCAATAGGAAGAAGGATCTATCTTGTTCATATTTGCTTCGTCATAAGGAGTTGGGAGGTGTCAGATAAACCTTTATTGAAATGACATGACATGACAAAATTAATTCCTAACTAATTTAGTAACCTTAAAATTTCTCCTTTTACTGAAGAACTATATAGGTGTACAGTGATTGCTGTGTGTAAAGCCCTGAGCACATTTTTGTAGAAGAGCTTTGAGGCTGTAAACATAATGCCCAAGCATCTGCCCAACTGAATTCCTTGTGTATTTTTTATGAGCTCTTTATTAACCAGCTTGTGTCCACACATCCATATTCCCACATTTTCCCCTGTGCTTTAGCCATATTAACCTTGAGTTTCCCAGATGAACTGTAACCCTTCCTTACAAAGGGTTTAACACATGATATTCCTTTCACAAGAAATGGTCTTTTCTTTTTTTAGATTTCTTCTCCCGATCCATGTTGTGTGGATGGACGCATTTGACAAGGTCCTACCTTCTACTGTATGAGGTTGGAAAAAGTTAAGTTTATTTTTTATAGCACTTATTACAAGTATAATTGTCATTTGATGTTATTTTGATTTCCCCCTACTAGGCAGTTCTATAAGGAACTATGGATGATTTGACTCATAGTTATATCTCTAGCACATTGTACAACCTGGCCCCTATTTGGCCTGTTTGACAGTTGGTTTCTCAGGATCCAGTCACACTTCTGTACATAAAATTATGATTTTGTTTAGGGTAGCAGTATGTCCAAATGCTTGAATTCCCTAACTCTTCAACAACTAAGTATAGTGATGACACATTTCTGGCCAATGACAATGGGAAAGCTATAATTGTCCTGTTAAAGAGGCAGATGTAGCAAGAACACTACTGCCCCCTTTCCTGACCTTGAATGTGAATGTAAAGATTGAAGCTATAGAAGCTATTTTGAGACCAGAAAAACCAGCAGAAAGATGAAAAATAACATACTTTCATCATGGTGAAGCAGAAAGATAGCATTACAGGATCATGATCACTTACACAGATGGGATGGGCTTTTACCCAAATTGGTTCAAATATGGAGACTGATACTACTACATACACCAAGAAGATATGAAGAGATACATTCCTCACATATTGAATCTTTCTGAGAAGATTAAGAAAGATAACCAAGCAGATATAAAAATGGCTTGTGCAAAGGCAGGGGATGATTGGTCCTGGATTTTGTGGCTAGGAAGTAGAGCCGAGGTGGAGGTTCCTACACAGTTTGAACTTAGTTGCTGGTGATTGCATGGTTTGAACTTCACTAGCACCAATGGAAGGAGCAAGTGGGCTTTCCTTGTAGCTTGCCCAGATGTGGCACAGGAGGATAGGGAAGGGAGATTTTAAAAGCTGTCAGTAGTTATACACCAAAAAGGGAGTCAGACATTTTATTACACATGGCACTACATTAGTAACTGCAACCATGTACCTCCGTATTCTTGTTACTAGCAGACAATCACAATCCTAACTGTTCAATAGGTGCTGAAAAAATACATGGTATTTGTCTTTGAGGTATAATTGAACTGTAATGTATTTGAAGTATACAACATAATAAGTCTATATTTGTATATAATAAAATGATCACAATAAGTCTAGTTAACATCTGCCACCATACATAATTACAAAAAAAATTTCCTTGTGATGAGGACTTCTAAGATTCATTCTACTAGCAACATCTGAAGATGCAGTAGAGTACTAACTATGGTCACAAAGCTTCACTGCATCCCTGTGACTTATTTTATAACTAAATATTTGTACCTTTTTGATCCCCATACCTGTTTTGCCCATCCTCCCACACCCCTCACCTCTAACAGCCACTGTCTTCTCTAGAGGTAGTTAGGGTTAATTTTTTTCAAGATTTCACATACAAGTGAGATCATATGACATATGTCTTTGTCTCACTTACTTCATTTAACATAATGTCCTCAAGGGCCATCCTTGTTGTAAATGGCAAGATTTCCTTCTGTTTCATGGCTAAATGATATTTCATCATATATACATAAATATATACATACATGTATGCATGAATATACGTGCATCATATCCATATATCCGCAATATCTTTATTCATTCATGTGTCAATGGACACTTAGGTTGTTTCCCTTTCTTGGCTCTGTGATAAACATAATGGTGCATATATCTTTCAGAGATAGTTTTTGTTTCCTTGAGATAAATACTCAAAAGTATAATTCTTCAATTATATGATAGTTTTGTGTTGCGGACAAAATGACACAAAGACAAGACACACACAAAAGACAGACACAGACACAACTCTGGCCGGAGGAACAATTCTATGCAAGCCCCCCTTGCGGTTTATTTTATACCCCGGTAACTGGATACAAACTGAAATCTACAAGATGCATTCCTTTACCAAATAAGGGCAAGTAGCCAAACACATTCCAAGGACAGGGGGGAGCAAAGGGAGGAAGCGACCACAACATGTTTACTAAGAGGCCTGCCCACAACTCCAGCCTCCTCCTTATTTCTTTTTTTTTTTTTTTTTTTAATATCCTCCTCCTTATTTCTAAGGAGGGCATGTTCCCTCGTGTGCGAGCAGATCATTAACCTTGGACATTGTGTGCAGGCCTCTTGGCAGAACGTCCTGTTTACAGGCATGATCTGCCCAAGCAGAGAGTCCCATGTGCAGGCACATCCCGGTGTCCCTAACCACGCTTTCTCGTGGTCACTGTCGGGCTCCCACAGTTTTGTTTTCAATTTGGTGGAAACTCCATACTGTTAACGATAGTGGGTGTACCAGTTCATGTTCCCACCAGCAGTCCATAATGATTCCCTTTGCTCCACATTCTTACCAACACTTGTCTTTTTGATGATCACCATTCTAACAGGTGGGAGAATACCTCCATGTAGTTTTGATTCACATTCCCCTTATGCTTAGAGATGCTGAGCATCTTTTCATGTACCTGTTTGCCATTTGTATGTCTTCTTTGGGAAAATATCTATTCAGATCTTCTTATCTTTTAAAATTGGTGTGTTTTCACTATTGAGTTGTAGGAGTTCTTGATATGTTTCGGACATTAACCCTTACAGATACATGATTTGAAAATATCTTAGATTCATTACGTTTTTTCATTTTGTTGGTGATGCAGGACCTTTTAAATTTGATGTAGCCCCATTTTATTGTTGTTGTTGCTTTTGCTTTGTGATAAAGTCCAAAAAATCATCAGCAAGGCCAGTGTCTAAGAATTTACTGCTTGTTATTTTTCTAGGAATTTTATGGTTTTTGGACCATTCAGGTTTTTAACCCATTTTGATTTCTTTTGTGTGTGTATGGTATAAGAAAGTGGTCCAGTTTTATTCATTTGCATATAATTGTCCAACTTCTTCAACACCATTTATTGAACAGACTGTCTTGCCCACTATACATTCTGGCCTCTGTTACTGTATATTACTTGACCATATAAACTTGGGTTTATTTTTGGGCAGCTATTCTGTTGTATTGATTTACATGTCTGTGTCAGTACTATACTATTTTTATTATTATAGCTTTGCAGTATACGTTGAAATCTGGGATTGTGATACTTCTAGCTTTGTTCTTTTAAGATTTCTTTGACTCATCAGGGTCTTTTGTGATCCCATACCAATTATAAGATCATTCATTCTATTTCTGTGAATAATGTCGTTGGAACCGGTGGGGATTGCATTGAATCTTCATGTTACTTTGGGCATGGACACTTTCACATTATTCTTTGACTCTATGGTCACAAATACCTTATTTATTTGCATCTTCAATTTTTCATCAATGTCTTAAAGTTTTGAGTATACAAGTCTTTTCCTCCTTGGTTAAATTTATGTCTGAGTATTGTCACTGACACAATTGTAAGTGAAATTAATTTCTTAATTTTTTTCTGATAACTTGTTATTAGTGTAGAAAAATGAAAATGAGTTTTATACATTGATTTTGTATCTTGCAACTTGACTGAAATTTTATCAGTTCCAAAAGTTTTTTGGTAGAGCTTTAATATTTTCTATAAATATCCAATGCAAATAGTAATAGTTCTATTTCTTCCTTTGCAATTTAAAGTTTTCTTTTTCTTTTTTCCTTTTCTTGCCTAATTGCTCATGTTAGGATTTCTTATGTTGGATAAAAGGTGAGAGTGAGAACTCTTGTCTTGTTCGTGCTCTTAGAGTAAAAGCTTCCAGCTTTAAACTGTGTGAGTATGATGTTAGTTGTGGCCTTGTAAAATATGGCTTTTATTAAGTTACAATATTTTACTTATATACCTACTTTGCTGGGAATATTTTTTACTATAAATGTATATGGAATTTTGTCATCTATTGACATGATCATCAGATTTTTATCCTTCATTTTGTTAATGTATCATGTTGATTGACTTTCAGATAAACCATCATCTTTGCATCTCTGAAATCCCATTGATCTTGATATCATCCTTCATGTATTATTAAATGTACTTTGCTAATATCTGTTAAGGATCTTCGCATATGTGTTTCTTAGTAATCTGGGCACGTGTGTGTGTGTGTGTGTGTGTGTGTGTGTGTGGTGTCCTTGTCTGGTTTTGATATCAGAGTAATGCTGGCCTTGTAAAATGTGTTTGAAAGTATTCCATTTCCTAGGTTTTTAGAAGATTTTGAGACACATTAGTATTAACTCTTTAATCTTATTTAAATGTTTAATGGAACTGATCAGTGAAGCTGTCTAGTCCTGGACTTCTGTTTGTTGGGAAGGTTTTTTCATTACTCTTAAATTTCCTTATGAGTATATTTTTGCACATATAGGTGGTTTAGGAGGAAGTTAATGGAGGACCATGAGGGAGAAGAAAAGGAAAAATAGTTGGGGAGAGGGAGGAAGACAAACCATGAGAGACTCTTGAATGCCCAGAACAAACTGAGGGCAGATGGGAGTGGGGGAGAGGGGAAGGGGGGTGATGGGCATAGGGGAAGGTACTTGTTGGGATGAGTACTGGGTATTATATGAAAACCAACTTGACAATAAACTATTTAAGAAAAAAATTTCCCTATGAGTAATTGATCCATTCATATTTCCTATATACTCATGATTCAGTCTTGTCAAGTTGTATGTCCAGGGATTTAACCATATCTTCTATGATGTTCAATTTATTGGTGTATAACTCATAGTAGTCTCCTATAACACCTGTATTGCTTGGGTATCAGTATCTCTTTGTTTCTGATTTTATTTAAGCCTTCTTTTTTGAGAGTCTAGCTAATGTCTTGTCAGTTGATTCTTTTCAAACAACCCTATCTTAGTTCCATTTTTATTTTTTGTCTTATTCTATACACCATTAACAAATACATTGATTTTTCACAATTTATCAAGTAAGTTTATAAGGTATCCAAAGGCTTAGACTTTTCAGAGTTTCAAACTGTTTATTTTTCTGTATATACTATGCTTTTTAACTTGGACTGAGGTATTTTCCCAGAATTAGAATGTAACATTGATACAGACAAGGACTGAATCTGTTTTATTTACTATCAATACCTCAGTGGAGTGCCTGGTGGC